CTGCAATCAACATCTTGATTTCCCGTGTTAATTTCTTTTGTGGCTATCCGGTTTGCCAGCCTTTATCAACATTACAGAATAGTTCCAGATGAGTTGTGAGGATTTTTTTGCCCTTTTATTAGAGATACATAAAGCTTTCATACAATTGATTAAAAAAAAAAAAAATTGTACTAGTTCTCATGCATCTGTTCTTTATTGTGCAGATGTATTCTGGAAGTCCAGGGAAAGTATCACCTGTTGTGGTGCTCCCACCTGCTGTTGAACGCGGAATATGCTTGCAGAGTGTTTCAAGGAAGCACAACAATGGTAACTTTCTCATTGATTGGATTTGTCTCTGTTTACAGACAAGTGAACTTTTTCCAGTGTTCGCCTTAGGAGCCCTGTTGTGCTGTGGTTATGTGCTACAGCAATGAAGAAGTGCTTGGCTATTGTTAATTAACACCAGCTAACTCTTCACTTGCTGGCCAGTTTGATTAGTCAAGGAAGTTCTTGTGTTCGTTATGTGTGTTTTTTTGGACATGCATGTTATTTGGTGTTTTGTTTTTTTTTGCTTTAACTTGTTGCTTAATGTGGTAAGAGTGGTATCTAGTTTAAGATTGACCTGTTTGAGGATTCAGTCATTCCTGGATAATCAGCAGAAGAAAAATATCATCTGGTTAAGCTTTTTTTTTTTTTTCTTTTTTCCATAGCTTTATTTTTTATAGGTTTCTGTTGTGCTTTGAGTAGGAACTAAAATGTGAGGACAAATTTAGGTTTTGTTGCTGATGGTTTCTGCCTGCAGGTTGTGGCATTTGCCTTGTGACCATCCTGATTGAGAAGGGGAGTTTCGCTATTGGAATAAAGCTTTTATCTTTTTGAAAATGATTTGGAAATCCAGCCTATAGTATGGGTATAATGACCAAAAAGGCTAATCCAAATTCAGCTTAGTAAGATGGAACCAGTTCTTTTTTTCAAGCTTCTGGGAGCTGTAAATCAACTTACTGTCATGGAAGTCTGCTTCATATGATTCTGTTAAGTTTGAAATCAATATGGAAAGGGGGAAGAGCTGATTGTGATAACTTTCTAAGGTATTTCCATGTTACTTCAGTACACTATGTGTACTAAAATCAAATCTTGGTGGTTTTTTATTAATATTTTTTTAATGTGTGACTTCTTCTGTGGAACCATTCCTAGAAGCATTTTCTATACTTGTTTCAGAGGACTCAAACTATAAGATGACTGCAGCACAGAATTCAAGAAATACATGGGCAGTAGGTTGTGTGAGTTCGGAAATAAAATTGGACACAAAACTTCAAAAATATTTGGAATAATGCACATGTGCATTACAACCAAACAACATTTGTATCATTTATTTCCCTGCAAGCTAAACCAGAGTGATCAGTTGAGAACCAGCTTAGTTTTACCTCATTGAATGACATTTGTATGAGATTTTTGTGTCTGTACCCTTGCTCTCTGTAAAGCTGTTAATGAGAAAGCAGCCTCAACATTGAGCTCTAGTGGGATAGAAGTAGTCCTGGTGCTGCTGGATTCTTTTATGATTGTTCATAGAGCTTTCTGCACTAATTAATCCTTTTAGAAAGCAGAATTCAGCTTCCAAAAAGAATAAAATATTTTAACCTTGTTTTGTTAACAGGCATGACTTCATGCTTCACAGGAATTGTCATTCTGTGATTTAACATTTTTAATAAAAGATGCATGATGGGAATTACTCTGCATTTCTTGCATACTGCTGTGAATTCTCTGTGATAAGATAATTGAATATTAGGTGTTGCACTCTCAATGAAGTATCCAGCCAACAACTGCAGAACCTACTGATGTTGTACAGAGTAAAAGGTATCTTCAATTAAATAAAATAGCGCTTTCATTTTTCACCTGCAGGCTTTTCAGAGAAATCCGGTGATTTGCAGGTAAATGATTTTCATTTCAGTCTACTTGTCCTGCTTGCTAAAGAATATGTAGTTACTTTGAATTTATCTTCTTTTGTTCACTGGATTGTCTTTCATAGTTGAAGGTTTCTGCAGTTTTAGAGAGGAATGAAACACCTTCAAAAAAAGAAAGGAGGAAATCAGGTAATGGTGACTTTGGTATTCCGAGTTTAACTTCAGAATCTTTCTGGAGAAGCACATTTAACTAAGCATTTGATTCATTTGTTTTGCAGATCTACAGGAGGAATTGAGTTTAGAAGATGTAGACAATATTGAAGGTATTTTTAAAAGGTTTTTTTTGTCATGTTCCTTTGTGGACACACACATTATACTTGTAAATTCCTACTATTAATGTTTGCTATGTTATTTCAGCATAAGATTTAATGAAATATGCCTCCATCTGTGAGTGCTTTTTCCTCTAGTCCTCTATTCAGTGCTTGTAAAAACCTTTCTACAGCATAAGCTTCTTCCATCTGCTATCATCACCCCTTGTCAGGAAGTCTTCAAATTTACTTTTCTTCCTGTTTCTGAATATACCAGTTTCTAGAGGAGCAATAGGAAGTATGTCCTATGTCTGGTTCCAGGCAAGGGATCTGCAAACTAAGCTGTCCAGGAACTGCAGGTGGGACAGTAAGAGTGATTGCCAGGCTTATGCTGCACTTAGCATGAGTGATTATTTACCTGACTTTTCTCTACCTCTCTGACAGTTGTTTTAAAACATGTAGTATATATTCTCTCGTTTTGGTGAAACTGACCACTGAATTTAGAGCTAGGGGAAGAATGTAGGGAAGAAAGTTTAAGTGGGAGGTAATGAGTGAAAGTACGTTGACAGGAATTCCTTTTTGTTGGGAAATAAGGATAAAAGTGAAGCAGCTAGATCATACACTATATATATATATATATATATATATATATGGGAGAGAGGATATATAACCTTAATGGGTTTTTAGTTTCTTCATTCTGATGTGTATGAATTTAAGTGTTTGTTAGCAAGATGCAAAACAGTTCCCTATTCAGGTCTTAGAATTTCTACAATGAGCCCCTGAAAATACAAATCAGGTGAAAACCTATATAAGCAAGCATATGAAGTAGATGATTAGAAAAAATTCAAAAAACTATTACAACTTCTAAGTATGGAATGGAAATTGTTCCAAGCTGTTTGACATCCTTGTCTTAGGAAAAAAGGTACTGTTTCTTTTGACAACGATAGAGGTTAAACTTGCCTCCTGAAAAAGTGTTTGTGTGTGTGTGTGTGTGTATTTGCAATGCATAAAGAAAAGGAGGTTCTCTTCTGCAGTGATAGTATTTCTGTAAGATGCAGTAAGGATTGTTAGAATCATAGAATTATAGAATTGGACTGGAAAGGACTTTTAAAGATCACTTAGTTCCAACCTCGCTGCTGTGGGTAACATGTTCCAGTGCCTTGCCACCCTCATCAAGAATTTATTCCTTATCTAAACTGTCTTTCAGTTTAAAACTGTTACTCTTTGCACTATCACTACGGCCATAGTAAAAAGTCTTCCTTCATCTTTCTTATAAGCCCCATTAATTATTGAAAGGCCATAATATGGTCTGTGTAAAGTCTTTTATTTTCCAACACTGTCAGCTTTTCTTCATAGGAAAAGTGTTCCAGTTCTCAAATTATTCTTTGAGACCCTCCTCTGGACCTGCTCTAACCGGAGACTTTTGTGCTGGGAGCCCCAGAGCTGAACTCAGTACTCCTGGTAGGGTTTTGGAAGAGTGGAGTAGGGAGGGGACAGTCATCTCTGTTGGCCTGCTGGCCATGCAGTGCCTCTTTTGTGGCCCCGGGTGCAATTGGCTTTCTGGACTGCAAGCATGCATTGGCAGCTTGTATCTAAGTTTTCATCCAGCATTATCCCCAAGTCCTTTTCCACAGGACTGCTCTCTGTCTGTTCATTGCCCAGTCTGAGCTGATGATTGCCCAATGCAGGTGCAGGACTTTGCACTTGGCCTTGTTGAACGTCATGAGGCCTGTTTCTCTAGGCTGTCATTGTCCTTCTGAATGTCATCTCTTTTCACTAACATATCAGCTACACCACTTGGCACCACTTCCTTATGTACTAAACAATCCATCCATCATATTTCTCCAATTTAGAGAGACAAGAATGTTATTTGAGCCCATGCAAGAAGTCTTAAATCAAGGTAGCTAACATCAGTTGCTGTTTCTTAATCTGTCACTGCAGTCACTCCATGGTTGGTTGGATCCTGGGAAGTACCTCCTTTTTTACCCTTTTTAAAAACAAGTGTGATGTTTCCCTTTTTATGGTCACTGAGGGTTTCACCTGACTGCCACAACTCTTTAAATATGGTGGATAGTGATTTTTGGCAACCTCATTTATCCATGATCTCGGAGGTCTTTTCCAATCTTTATGATTCTGTGAGTCTTAGTTTTGTCTGTTTTATGCAGTAATGTGAAATGTAGTCCAATAATGGTCCAGGATGTTATAACATTGTAAAGTTGGGTAGGAAAATCAATCTTCTCATAGCTCAAATTATATCAGTATAGCGTTTCATGTATTTTCTGTTAATCCTTCCTTGTCTGTTTTTTTTTTTTTGTCTCCATCTATGTGTAATCTTGAAGATCAGGTATTAAGAAGTATATGTGAAAGTTTCTCTGACTTTTGGGTTTGGGTTTCAGCAAGCTGAATTTCTTCTGCAGAGCATTGTGACTCCTGTGGTACATGTATTTCTAACTCTAAAAGGGTTAAATGAGACTCTTCTTCATACAAAATAAGGAGCAGTGAAAATAGCTAGAGGAATCTAGCCAGTTACAGTATAGCATACAGTGTGTCATTGTATATAAATATATTTCTACATATACATAAACCATTTGAGATCATTAAAGGTGTATTTGTGACCTCTTGTACTGATTTTTATCAAACTTGTGCGTGAAAGGGAAAATGCCTTGAGAGAGGGTAGTTCACAGAGATGCATCTTTAAACTGTGTTATATTCAAGTCATAAATCATACACTTGAGAGATTGTGTTAGTTTGTGTTATTTTCTCATAAATGTAACGACTCAGAATGTACTGTAGGTATAAATAAATCGTAATAAGTCATGTTCATTATAAAGAAGGAATTTCTTCACTGTAGGTGAGTGCTCAGAACATATCTTTCTTGTGTCATCAGCTGAAAAAGAGATGGTCAAGGATGCCATTGAAAACTGTGGAAGGCAGGTATGTGAAAGCAAATATTATATCTGAATTGGTGAACTGTATTATGTGTTAATGTAAAAGAAAGCTTACCAGTCAGTAAATGGTTCTGAGAAAAGAGTCTTGTACATGAAGTTTGTATCATTTGAAGTTAGATACTGTCTTCTTATGGTGTGTAAAATGCTTGCCGTTGTGATGGATACTTGACATTTTGTCCTGCTGTGTTTCCAGCTGGTTTGCTTAAACACTGACCTCTGTTTTTCCTTACGTGCAATGCTGATAAAAAGTGCAGTCATGTGGTGGGGGTTTTTTTCCTATGCAAAATACATATTCAATTAGGAGCAAGATTTTTCTATCGTGTGATTATTTATTTGACAAAACATGCCAGATTTTCCTCTTTGTAAGAGAAAGATTAAGCAAAAACTTGAAATATGATGATCTGTCAATGCATTCTCTGCCTCTGCAAAATATATCCTTGTCTGATCAAGTTAATAAGTGTTTGAAAATATATTTTTTGGAGGCCATTGTAAAGGAATATAAACCAGGTATCCTGTTTGTACTGGGCATACAGGACTGGGTAGGGGTCTCCAGTGAGCGTGTGGCGTCTTCTGTAATACCTCAAGGGACAGTGGAGTAAGAAATAATATCCATTATACATCCAAGGCACCATAGAAGAGGGATGTGATTAATTTCAGCAGATAGAGAACAGGACTTAAGTGTTGGAAGGTGATAGCAGATGTGCAGAGTGAATGGAGCTTGGGAGTGGAGTGGCTGAGAGAGGTGGTGACTGAGATACTCCTCTGCATTGTGAAAGATTTTTGTGGAGTTAAGATGTGGAAGGAGAAAAGGGCCTGTATAACCAGAGTAAGAAGATCAGTGGTTGTGGTCCCTTGGGACGCCAAGGTGGCAGGTCTTATTCAGAAGGGAACACAAACCAAGGATAATGTTGCAGGGACTGAGGCACACAGTACAAGCAGTCAGCACCAGAGAGGAGCCAGAGATATGAGGAGGCTCGGTAGTTTTGATAGATGTCTTGGTTCATGATTTTGGGCTGAGGGCAGCAGTGAACAGGTTTTCCTAGTAAATGTTTGTCTTGGGAGCTTGGAATGTAATTTAATAATTTTGACTCTGGGGAGCATAAATGATTGTAATGTAATCAATCCCTTGTGGTGGATAGTAAAAAGCTCGTTATGATCACTAACACTGTGTTAACTCAACTAGCAGGGGATTGTAAAGTGCCAGTCAGTAGAAAGTGATGGAGGATGGGAAAATTTGGGCAGTTGTGTTTTGTGTTGTTCTTGATTGTTGGTTTCTTTTGATTTTTTTTTTTTTTTTTTTTTTTTTTTTTTTTTAATTTTTATTTTTTAAGTACTAAAACATGAACTGCATAGTGACACCTTTTAGCCTGCCTGTTCTCTGTAATTGGCTAAAGCAATCCTCGTCTTTGGAGAAATCTAATGGCAGAAAAACTATTGTTTCTAAACTAGATCCTTTCATTTTGAGGAAAAAAGAAATAAGGTGGTACCTTTGTTTTTTGTTGCATGATAGAATGAGTTTGCAATGTAAATTACATGGCTTAACCATAATTTCCTTTTTCTTGGTAATTTTTCTGTCTTTACCTGCTTACTTAAGGATAAATATGTTTTAGAAACTACCAACTTGATAGAAAACCCAGCATATGAAATACAGACTGACAAAGCAGAAATTTCTCATCAGGAAGCCCTAGCAGAAAATGAGGAATCCCACAGTGCTGTCAAGCAGTTAAGTCTAAAGCCGTGGGAAGAAAGATATGAAAGAATGTGGGTTGAAAAAGAGAAAAGGGAATTGAAAACAAATTTTAAAAACATCACAGCAGAGCTGAAGCAGCTGTTTGGTGAAATTAATGAATCTGAGGAAACTACATCCCTTGTGGCAGAAGTGGCAGAAGATGACTTCAATGAAGAATTGAAGAGTTTTCGTGTTTCATCTTGTGTGACAGAATCAAATAATAAGTTAGAAAGTAAAGGTGAATCTGGAGATATGAAACTTAACGTAGACCTAAAGGAACCCGAAGTGGAAATTGTAGTTCAGAGTCTCGGTGTCCTTCCTGATCACAGTAACTTAAATGCAAACATGGAAAATACCTGGAGTACAGACGAAGAAGACTGCACTAATTACACAGATAATACAAAAGTACCTCTAGCAAGAGGAGAGGAAATGGAAGAAAATGAGAATGGGATTGGAAGGAATGTAGAGGGAAGTCCTGAGTATTCCCCGAGACATTGTTTAAAAACAAATATTTTGGATGACATTTCTAATATTCTTCCTAAAATAAGACCTATTTCCACAAATGATGAAAGTACACTGGGTTTTATCAGAGAGAAGAAATTTGGTAAGGATGTCTGTCTTAGTGACAGTGTTTCCAGAGACTGCCTTATCAAAAACAAGGAAATAGGAGAAGCAGAAATTGAAAATCTTATTCCACATGATCAGCAACCTTGTGGCATGCTGAAAAGGAATCTGGATGAAGAATTAAAACAAGATATGGAAAGATTTAAGAGTAAGGTAGGAATGCTGCAAATGGTATTCCTGGCTTTGGAGAAAGAGAAGGTACAGCTACAAAAAGAGGTAGAAGTTCACCTGCTGCTCCTTATTCCTTAGTCTTTCTCCATATCAATGGTCCTGTTCATGTTAGCTATTGATCATGCTTTGTGGAAATTGTTTTTCTTTTTTTTGTTTTAAGGGAAGTACATTACTCATAAATAAGGAGAGCAGTGGTGAATTGTACTTTTCCCCATGATGTAATCAGAAGGTTTTGAGGAATCAAAATGTATTGATTCAGTTTAACAATAGGTGGCAGTCAGTTCCAGTGTAAGTAGTTATCACCACATTGCCATAAAAACAAATACATACAAGTACACCAGTTTTGATTCTCAATCAAGGAATGAAAATAGCTTCTGAACAGGCTCTTGACTAATCTCTTCATTTGCTGTGGTTTGTGCATGGCGTGCCTTCACTGCCTTTCACTAAAATTCCTGATTGCTGTGAAACTTTATGCTTGTGAGGTTTTTTTTCCTCATCATTAAGGAAGTACTCCATCATGCATCTACTCATATTTTTTTATTTCTACAGCTAATGTTGTGTAGTCTGTCTAATTTCTTATCAGTAATGCACCAGTAATGCCATTATTGTTTCTTTCCTAAGGCTTGGGGGTTTTTTTGTTGAACTTCAGATCATGAGTGAATTCAGTGTGTTTTCGTTGACTTGGTACGTTTTGTAGAGTAATTTTTGTGAAAATTCTTTTTTATTTTACATTATTTTAGAAGTCAAGCTTATATTATTTGGTCTTACATTGCCTTTAGAAACAGAAAAATGTATGAAGCTTAATTTTCTCTTCATAGGTTGAGAAGGAAAAAAAGAAGCAGAAACATTTCAAAATGCAAGCAGTGGAGAAAGAGGACGATCTTGATAAATTAAATACACCAGCAGGCAGTGTTAACAATCAACCAGTTAAAGAAGAGCTTGCTCTAAGGAAGAATGAGAAAAAACTTGAGAATGAAAAAATGATAGAAGAAAAACGCACACAGAACTCTTCATCTGAGGAGAGACCAAAATTAACTAGAATGCCAACAAAAGGGTAAACTAATAAAACATTCTGCGATTTTTATTTGTAATATTTAGGAGTTTTAGTTTTAGGGCTTTTTTTATCTTGTATTTGAAGCACTCTCCTCAGTGTTGAAAGCTATGCTGAGTAGTCTCCTACTTCTCAAACTTTTTAAAAAATATCTTTTTCTGAGAACTAAGTGCACAATGGAGGTTCAGGTTTATTTCATTGGAGGAGACAAAGGTCTTAACTGTAGAATCATAGAATGTCCTGGGTTGAAAAGGACCACAATGATCATCTACTTTCAACCCCCCTGTTATGTGCAGAATCTCCAACCACCAGACCAGGCTGCCCAGAGAATTTTTTCCTTAATACTGACACTAGTCGTGTCTTCAGAATCTTAGCTGGAGGTTGAGAAAATGTTATTTTCTTAATAAATAGCCAATCAGAACAGAAAAGCAGGAACTCAGTTTACTTTCTCCCTTTTCTAGGAGATATTAGTGTTCCTCATGGAATTGTTTTCATTAAACTCAGACTGTCTTTGTCAAGAAAAAGGGAACAATAATATTACCAAACAATTCTAAGAAGTTAGAAGAAAGCAAAGATGCTTTTCCATTACCCTTGGCAGGAATTTTTATCTGCACCTTCTTCAGGAAAATCTGTGCTCTAAGTACATCCTTTAATGGGGAGAGAGAGGTGTTCCAGCTTACTTGAGTATCTTCCCAGATCTTGGGAATCAAGCCTGTGTTTTAACAGGCATTTTAGTCTTGATTTTTTTTCATGGAGTGTTTTTTATTTTATATAATGTACTCAATTGATGACTTTTTTTTCTTTCTGTTCAATATAGTAAATCTGTTATGAATGCAAAAGGTATGAAGAAAAATGAGAATAAAAGGCAGTCTTCAAAGCAGAAGGCTAATCAGAAGATTCAAGTAGCGGATGATAGCACTTGCAGTGAAACATCCCAAGCTGAAGAAAGGTACTGAATATAAGGAATATGATAAATACATTTAATGATTACAAAAGTTGTCCTGAAAACTAAAGATAAATTTTACAAACTGAATGCGTACAATGATTTTCTCCTGCCAAAAATGACTTGAGGGTGTGCAGGTGGATGGCAAGCTGGACGTGAGCCAGCAATGTGCCCTCACAGCCCAGAAAGCCAACCATATTCTGGGCTGCATCAAAAAGCAGCATGGCCAGCAGATCAAGGGAGGTGATCCTGCCCTTTACTCTGCACTGGTGAGACCTCACCAAGTGTACTGCATCCAGATGTGGATCCAGAAGGGATGTGGATATGTTATACAGTGAATCCAGAGGAGGGCGTAAAAATGATCCAAGGGATGAAACACCTCCCCTATGAGGACAGGCTGAGAGAGTTGGGACTCTTCAGCCTGGAGAAGAGAAGGCTCTGGGGAGACCTGAGAGCCTTTTTGGAGGTGGTTTTCAACTTTGGCTGTTGTATAATTAACAATATCAAGCAGAAAAAACAGCCTTCTAGCACACGTATGGTGTTTTTGTTGGTTTTTTTCTGCCTCCAACTACATGACTATGTATAACACAGTTATTGTATTAAACTGCAGTTTAATTCACTTCTGAAATTAAGTATTCAGAGCACTTTCAATTTTTTGTTGTTCATGTTGTGTAAGCATTCCAGTACTGAAATGTATTTCTGTTTTCCAGGCCTGCAGCAAAAACAGGGAGTGAAAAGGGCAAGGTACTGTAAAATTACTTTTTCTAATCGGTTTTTAATCACTTAAACTGTGACAGCTTTTACATCATGTTCAATTAGATGCAAAGATTTCTGCTAATATGCAGCTTTGTACTATTTGAGTCAAATTCATGGGCTGTGAGTGAGAAAATGAATTGTTCCTGCATTTATAATGATCTGTAATAACATAGTTTTGTATACACACTGTGTTGTCTGTAGGTCAGCATGCAAATGGATGTTACTGATGACCTTGATTTAACACAGTCATCTGATACAACTACAGAGGATGCTGAGTTGCCAACTTCAACTTACAAAGAAGCTATGTTGCTGTTAGAACAGCTTAGTGTGGATCATACAGGTAAGTCTCTAACTCACTTTGTCTTCTGTTACAAGTTCCTCTTCTAAAACTCTTGTTTCCTTGTGTACCTTCACAGTTCCTTAGTGTCATATTTAGGTCTAATATTTATGATCAAAAATGACTCTTGCCCATACCCTACTCCCTTAGAAGTACAGACTTGAGTACAGACTCCTGCACTGAATGCACAATTTATCTCACCTAACCTCAGATGTCTATCTGTGTTGTCAACAAACACGCCTTACCTACCAGCTGTGTCTCTAGTCAGAACTGGAAGAGAAAGTTTTTGTAAAGTACAGACCAGTGCATTCAAATGTAGTAATAAAAATAAAAAAAGACCAGTCCTTTTTTTTTCTTCCTCTTTATGCCCCTTAATAAGTAATGCTCCATAAAATAATGGTTTTTGTTATAGAGACTTCCCCACGACTAAAACCTTGACACCTATACCCAATTCAGCAAAGAATTAAATAGATTGTAAAGTGGAAAGTTTTTATGCATATGTGCAGTTTTGTATACTTTTTGTCTCCATACAGATTCTGCTATTTTGCTGAAAATTCAAAACATACTTCTTGAATATGAACAGAGAATAGATCGCGAAAAAAATCGCTATGCAGCTCTCTGGAAAGAAGTCAGAAAGTTGAGAAGTGAAAAAGAGGAGTCACAGTTAATAGCAGAAGAGACTGAAGATTTGAAATCCACATTGGCTCACCAAGAAATGGAATTGAAAAGTGATATCCGAAGCCTTAAGTAAGTAATCTTGCATTTTGATTGTTTGTTATCCTGGTCCTGTTTTAGAAGATGCTGGTAGTCCAGCCATCAACAGCATGCCAAGTCCCACCACTAAGCCATGTCCCTTAGTGCTACAGTCATGTGTCTCTTAAGTACCTCCAGGGATTGGGACTTAAAAGCATTTTTAAGAGTTGTATTTCACAGGTTTTGTCTTTGTACCTTCTGTTTTTATATAAAATCAGGAATCATGGCAACTCCTCAGACCACAAATTGAAACAGTTTACTGGGTGTGTTTGATTGAAGATCAAATTTGGTATTGTTTCCTTGTCCTCCTACTCCTGAGCTACATGCAGGTGGTCTTCAGTCACTGTTTACACTGTTTCAGAGGGGTGGCAAGCAGGCATTATATAAAATTCGTTAAGAACAAATTCAAAGCCCTGCACATGGGATGGAGAAACCCCTTGTGAGGATACACAGTAAAATGCTCTTGCTGGTGAGCTGCTTTGCTGAGAAGCCTTTTGGGGCCTTGGCAGAGATTAAGAGCAACATGATCCAGAATGATCTTGCAGCTGAGAAGGCCAACAGCATCCTGGGTTGCATTAAGAAGAGCAGAGAGTCAAGAAGGTGAAGGGAGGGATCCATCCCTACTTAGCTCTTGTTGGTCTGTATCTGGAGCACTGGGTCCAACGTTTGGCCTCCCTGTACAAGAGATCATGGTCAACATGTCTGAGTTCAGCAGAGGCCTTCCAGGCTGATCACAGAGCATGGAGCACTTTCTCTGTGAGAAGAAGCTGAGGGAAATGGACTTCAAGGAGATACGCCAGCAGTCTCACAGTACATGGAAGGGGATTATAAGTAAGACAGAGTAAGACAAAGCCATTCCTAATTTGGCCTGAATTTGGTTCTAAATATCTTTTAAAATTCCCAAACATCTATAAAAACAAGGAATTATTTTTTTCTTTCAATATAAAATCTCAAAACAGTGTTAGCTAATCAGCTATATGTTTGTAAAAGCTGTACTTTTCAGGAAACTAAAGTAACAATTATATGTAAAGCTTTCTCCTTGAGTATAAGCTATTTAAATACTGATGTTACAGCCAATCTTTTGAGCTATTTATTAGTGGTTGCTGATACTCATTTTCCAGAATTAGTAAAGCAGATTTTTTGGGGTACCTCTTTCTTTATGTTTGTAGTTACTTTCTTATTTGTTGACAAAAATATTGGAAAAATATTCAAAATAAGAAGCAAATACAAAACTGCTTTCTTGTTTACTTATTGTGGATACACAATGACAGTTTTAACCATATCAATGCTTATTGCTAATTATTTCAGTTATTTAAAAAAAAAAGCCTAACATTCTCCAAGGTGTTTTTATCAGTTAGATGGAAAATCAAGCTGATATTATTTCTCTCACATGTAAATCCAGTGAGTTTTAGAACTGTAACTGTGTTTTTTAATCATACTAAGCTTAACATTTCTAAATCCTTTTTGGAACACTATCCTTATCCTTTAATTTATTTTAAAAAAAAAAAAAAAAAAGTTACTTCACAGATGGTAAGCAGTTGTTATAGTCCTGGAAAGGGTTCTTAAAAGGTTTTGGATTTGTCTTAGACAAGTGATGTGTTGTTTTGTTAGTATTACTTGCAGTCACAGTGAATCCATAGTATGTAGATGATGTTCAGCATATTAAAAACAGTATATTTTTTATATTAAAAGCTTATGGTATTTTGATCTGGTAAGACAGTGAACTAATTTTGAATGAAGTGTGCACCTGTAATGTGAAGTTTTGGGATTTTTTTTAGGAATTACAGATGTGTGCATTATTCCTTCATGTTTACCTACATAAACTTGAAAATACATGATAAATTTTGTACATCACTTAATGGCTTATTTGTCAGCCTTGTGCAGCTCATGTACAAAATGTCTTTTACCACTAATGGAATGAAATTAGAGTTATTTTAAAAGTTTAAAATTGCAGCAAAACTTCTGTATTTGAAAAGATGTGACATTTTTATGGTTTAATTTGTTTCTGCAAGTTCATGGTGTGGCATATTTACTTTTTTGTGAGTGCTTTAATTCCTCAAATATTCTCTTTTAAATCCCAGATTTTCTTTGAAACAAGAAGAGCAAAAGAGGCTTAGAGCTGAAATGCAATATGAAAAAATAGGAGAACAACTAAGGAAGAAAGAGGATCAATACTGTAGAGAGGCAGAGGAGAAACAACAACTTGAGTTACGTGCAAGGAATTTAGAAATGGAGTTAATAACACTGAGAAAGCTCATGAAACAGGTATATTAAACCTGTTAGCTTCTGTTTTTCTGCTTCTTTCTGATTGATATTTTATGCTAGTATGTTCAACAAAGCTTGCTTGTGAGTGAGGCGTTATATAACCGTCTTGGTACATTTTGAGGACCATTGTCCTCAAACCAACATGAACAAACAAGTTCATGATTCCTTTTCTCATTTTTCAGAATTATAATTTGGTTTGTGTTTCAGACAAAACCTCACTTTGAGTTATCTTTTCTAATTACTACAAAACTGTGTGTGTGTGGTTTGTTTTTTTCATTTTCAGGAGGAAATTAGAGTTACTGCTTATAGCGCTCTTTCAAGTATACTTACATGGATTTAAATTTAGGCCTAAATGTTACTGTTTGCCTGACAATCTTAAAGTCAGGATTGAATCCAGAAAACCTCTCAACTTTATTTTTATCACAAGTTTAATGCCTTATTTAATTTGATTGAGATGATGATGTTTTTACTGTACGTAATCTGCATAAATTCTTTTTTTACATACATTTTTTACATACAGTTTTGAGGATCTTTCCACTGGCCTTGACATACTTTTCAGCATTCCTGTCATGCAGTTTCAAATATACCTCAAAAATTCAGTCTGTTCTGTTGTGTTTTTAAGCCTCAACTTTGCAAAACTTACATTTGCAAACACATTAAGAAGACATGAAAGTGATCATTAGGGATCTTCAGTGGCTACGTTGTTCTGGCAGGAGCAGGAAGTAGTTAGCATCACCTCTTTCAGTCTGCCTGAATTTTATGAGGGCATGATTGGCATTAGTTTACCTCCTGCTCTGTTTGTTCCGCTGGTCAGTCCTCTTCTGTGTCTTACTTCATTAATAATTTCTGGAAATCCTGTGCAACTCATTTTGTACAGCAGTATTGCTAGATTTTGGTAAACTGAATATATATTGGCCTATGTTCTGAAGCATTTCTAAATATTAGTAGAAGAGATGGAGGCTTAGGACCTTGCAGTGGAGTATAGACAATGTAATTATTGTGCTTTTGGAAATGTTACTCATTTGATTTATGCAGTTCTTAATGTTAGTGTTAATATTGATGAATAGATGTTTTCAGATCTTTGATTGTAAGCATATGAGTGTTCATCTCTATTTTTAGTGTGTATATGTAGTATGTTAGAAAGAGAACTTGGCTTTCTGCTTAAACTGTGTACATTTCCAAGAATAGTAGTTTGGGGTGGGTTTTTTTTTTTTTTCATTTGTTATGGAGAGAGATTCATTTCATTAAGTATAGAACTTCTATAATGCTGATTTGTGCAACGGACACACACTATCCTTATAACTTTCAATTCAGATAAACCTAAACACATTTGTTTGCAAACATGGAAAATTGATATGCAGGTCGTTCTATGATTTTATGATAAACAGCTCTTACTAGAATTACTACAAAATAGGGATGCAAAGAAGAATGAAATAGGAAGGCATTGCTAATTTTGCTCAAGATTCACAAGCTTAATTATATTACTGTAGATTGAAGAAGAGCGTGATGAAACACAGAGACAGCTCTCTCAGGAAAAGAGTGCTAGAGCTCTACAAGAAGGAATTTTGAACAGCCACCTGTGGAGACAGAAGGAACTGGAAGAAGAGACAAGAAAAACTATAGGAAAAAATTCAGAGGTAAGCAGTTCCATTTCTAATTAATTTGGTTATATTTCTCTGTGCTCATTCTAGAATCATAAGAAAAATAACATTTTGTGCATTTTGGTGGATTATCTACAGTTCATCAATATAACCCAGTTTTGTTACTGCTGTCTTTAAAAATTCTGGATAGCAGCATCAATCCCACATATACCTGAACTGCATGTGGAAGCAGGAAGCCACTGGAAAATAAGATGCTGTGTTCCCACTTCCTTAAGCTATCTGCTGTTCTTTACTGTATAGGTTGCTATAATCATTTTTAAGGTTTCTATCAGTGAAACATCCAGAAAACTCGAGACTAACAAGGAAAGAAATTGGCTGAGACTGTGATCCTATTACTTGGCTTTTTAATTGGTTATTGTACTATCATCACTTTCTTGTTTCCATTTTTTTTCATCTTTTGGCTTCATAAATTATTTTTATCTCAACCCATGAGTTCTATTTTGTTTCCAGTCTCTCCCTCATCCCACTTAGTGGTGGGGAGTGTGGTGCCTAGCTGCCTGCCAGGTTAAACCAGAATTTATTTCCCAACTGACTATTCATTCATGTCCTTTATCACACAGGAATCTGACACTAATGACAGAGAAAAGGATCTGCTGTACAAAAATCAGTTACTGCAAGAAGAGATTGCTATACTAAGACTTGAACTTGATCAAGTAAAACTTAGGCACCAGGAGGATGAAGGAAAATATTTAGGGGAAAATGAGTCTTTGAAAGAAAAAAATGACGATCTTCTGAAGGAACTTAAGCTGAATGAGGAAGCCTTAACACAAACAGTGTTGCAGTACAATGGACAGCTGAGTTTACTCAAGACAGAATCTGCAATGCTAAGCTCTAAGCTTGAACAGACAAGAGAAAGCAAAGACAGACTGGAAACAGAGATTGAATCATTCCGTTCCCGCTTGAATGCTGCTGTTCAAGATCTTGAACGTCATCAGTCATTGAAAAGTGACGCTGAACGAACATTTCAGAAAGAACGTGATGAATGGCTTCGTTTACAAGACAAGCTCCATCATGAGCTCTCTCATGCGCAAGAGACCAACAAGAGCTTGTCTCAGCAGCTGAGTAAGATGGAAATGAAAGCCAATTGTCTAGAAAGTGAGCTTCACCAGTTGAAACAAACACTTCGAGAAAAAACACTGCTTTTAGAAATGACGCAAAAAGACTTAAATCAAGCCCAGTGCCAGGCCAAAGAAAGTGACTGTGCACGGCAACTTGAGAAAGATCAAGTCAGCAAATTTATGATAAAGCAGGAATCTATGCAGGAACGATTGGCTCAGCTCCAAAGTGAAAACCTCTTACTCCGTCAGCAGCTGGAAGATCTGCAGAACAAGGGGATCATCAAAGAAAAGGTTGTGAATGATGTCCAGGACAGATTTAATGATATTTTCAACAAACTCAGAGCTGATACTGAAAAGCAAGTTTACCTCATGGAAGAGAGAAACAAGGAATTAAATACCAAGTGTACTGATTTAAGGGAACAAGTCTTTAAATATGAGACTGACAAAGTAGAAAGAGAGGTAAGCTATACAATTAAAAGGAATAACAGAATCACCGAATGGCCAGGGTTGGAAGAGACCTCAAGGACCATGGATCTCCAACCCCCTCTGCCACATGTAGGGCCACCAACCTCCACATCCAATACTAGACCAGGCTGCCCAGGGCCCCATCCAATCTGGCCTTGAACACCTCTAAGGATGGGGCATCCACAACCTCTCTGGGCAGCCTGTTCCAGCACATCACCACTCTCTCTGTGAAGAACTTCCCCCGCCATCCAACCTCAATCTTCCCTCCCTCAACTTAAAACCATTTCCCCTTGTCGTGCAGTTATCTACCCTTTCAAAGAGTTGATTCCCCTCCTGTTTGTAGGCTCCCTTTAGGAGCCTGCAGTGAGGTCCCCCCTGAACCTTCTTTTCTCCAGGCTGAACAAGACCAGCTCCCTCAGCCTGTCTGTGTAGGGGAGGTGCTCCAGTCCCAACTGAAACATTAAAATGTTTCAATCCATAAAATGATTTTGTATTTTTGAAATGCACCAGGTGTAAGTTATATGCATAGAACCAAACTATGTTGTTTTGTTGCGGTTCATTGTTTTTCTCTTGTATTTAAGGAAGACTTTGGTAAATGGCTGAATTGTATAATCTAGTCAGTTTAAAGGAGTAAAGTCAAATTTCATGGTTTTCCTCATGTTTATCTAACTGTTTCTTTAGGTTTTGGTCAGACAGCTACAGCAGGAGCTTGCTGATGCTCTTAAAAAGCAGTCTATGTCAGAAGCTTCCCTTGAAGTTACTACACGCTATCGCAGTGACCTTGAGGAAGACAAATTGCGCTTGCAAAAGGAATTGGACAGGGTTAAAACCAAGGTACAGAGAGGCTGTAACTTATAAATCTGAGGGGTTTTTTTTCCTGTTTTTGGTGAAGAAGAGAAAAATAATGTTCTGAGAACAAGTAGCAGAGAGACCTAAGGAGGTTAGCAGTGATACCCTGTCATAATTCATGACGCCAGTGAAATCTTTGCCAGCTGTCTTCCTCCTCTATAGTGAAAGATGAGTGTTACTGGAATCATCAAAAAGCCAACTAGTTTCTTTTGCAAGTAGGAGACATTCTTCAACCCCACAGCTAAAGCTGTTCTTGAGGCTCCAGGGTACTGCAGCAGTGTTCTTTCTTTTTCCAACTTCCTTCCCTCTCCTGGTATCAGATGCAACTAAGAATTTGTTTGTGTATGGGATGTTTGCACTATCTGAAGCAACATCACGTGGGTGCTCTGAATTTACAAATTAATTTTCTGTCTCTTAGAAGGTTGGTTGTAAATGCTGTAAGCAGGTCTTTACCTCCTTAGTCTTCTCAATTTGCCCCTTGTCATCTGTGATCACAGTCATGCCTGTGCCAAACCAGAGCAGAGATTTCAGAGTATAAGGAAATGTTGTCCTCCTATCCTAGAAATAAATTCAATTGTATAGATTTAATGACATATATATGAATTGGATTGTTCTATGCACCTGGTGTCTGTGATTGGGTGGTCTTTGACATGAGGTCACAATATCTTTACCTCATGAAGATCTGTATTTGGTAAGCTGCTTTGCAAAATTACGTGGTGTCTCTACAGGTTATAGCATCTGGTTTGGCCAAGTAGATGTCCGATTTCTGAGAAACAGTAGAAATACTGGACAGCTGAATTTGAGCTTTCCTTTTCTGCTCTCTGTGAGAGTTGTGTTTGTTTTTTACTGAAACATATATCATAAGAATCTACTTTTGAACTGTGAAATCACTTTAGGAGGAGGATTAATTTTTTAATCAATATTTTCAATAGAATAGCAGGCAAGTAGCTACAGAGTCTCTGAGTCTCTACAAATCACTGAGAAGGTAGGATTAACAGTGTCAGTGCTCATAATGGTGTTAGAGAAAATCCTTTGTACAGATGGGAGAAGACAGTATCACAGATGATGAAATATTGTCTGTTATTGTTCATTTGCTAAGAGAAATGAGAGCTTGAATGAATTGGAAATGATTACAATACTTTGGGTAGAGGGTGTATGTAGATACGTGCAATATTCAAATTCTTCAGCACTCACTGAGTTCTCTATAGAGAAACTAACCTGGGTGCTGAGGATTCTCACTGCTCTCTTACAGCTACAGGAATCTGAAGAACAGCGTGTTCAGTCTGAGCTTTGTGTTCATGACTTGAAGACTGTCCTAGATAATAAGGAAAAAGAAATATCAGTTTCTTCTGAGAAACTGAAAGACCTTCTGTTAGCAACTTCTGGAACCAATGCTGTTATAAAACAACTGGAAGAACATGTGCAACGGTAAGAAAATAACATTATGAAGCAAGGTTTTGCTTTCTGAGATTCTTTGAAAACGTTAGGATTGCCTTGTTGCATCATCATGGTAATGCATGATTTTGAAAGAAACTCTTGCTTTAAGTTGCATTCTTTCACAGTGTTCCTTTACAACTTGTGCCATTATGGATTTGTGTTTCTCTTTAAGACTTGAAATAGAAAATGCCAGATTGGAAGTCACAACCAAACAACAAACCAATAGTATTGAAGCTCTTCAGAAGGATATGCAAGCATCAGCCTCAGTAAGCCAGTCATAAACTTTTCATTTATTTATTTGTTTGTTTGTTTATTCAGTGTGAGCCTCTGAGCCTAGTTAGATATTTTTTGTGGGGAAGCTACATGATTTTCCTGGGGAGCATAGAGGGAGGTGAGTTACCTGAGTTGTGCTGACTGTAGGGTACTCTGAAAATCCTGCTGGTCTATTCTCCAGCTTTCTGGTTTTGAGAGTTTTCCTGTAATAATATATCAAGTCCTACTTAATGCTATATGTGGTGAGGTTTTGTCACTGTAGTGCTGGTTTAAGTATTTTTTTCTTTATACCAATCGTGATGTTAGATGGCAGACACATACTGGAATGTGTATCTTGAAATGCATTCTGCAGGTTTCTTCAGGGAAATTTCACATATGTGATGGTTCCAAGAGCTTCGTGCCAGAGGCCTGACTGACATCATCAGGCTGGGACAAGAATTATATTCCCCAGGCATTTTGCTGTATGGAATTGCTTTTCCATTGGCTGCTTGATGTGTATTTGTTTTCATGAAATGGTAAAGAGGAATCCCCATGGTATTATTTGCAGAACTTGGTGAAAGGCTTGCAATTTCCCCCTGTTCAGTGGTATTAACATAAATAGGATGATTGATATTAGCATAAATAATGTGGTTTATATGAAGCAAATTATTTTTGTATTCGAAACAATGATCTGGGGGCTTTGTTATACCTGTGGTTGTTAATTGATGTTTAAGAGGTTCTGAAAATAGCTATACATGAAAGTTGAACTTTGTGCTGTACTGACACTGGCAGAAGAAGAGAGAAGTGCTTACTCTTCCCCTTGGTTAAGACAGCATGGTTTTCAAATGTATGGTGGATGGAAGAAGTTCCTTTGTGTGTTCATTTTTGGAGTTACGGTAGTAGGGTTAGGATGCAGTTGCACTTGATGATCTTGAAGGTCTTTTCCAACCTGAGCAATTGTATGATTCTGTGATTGAAGGTTCTTTGTATTCCACATAGTTCTCTCCCTGAAGCCAACTGGCAGAGGTGATGTTTGCTAATAGTTTTATCATAGCATCCGATTGAGGTATTTCTCATGACTGATGGTGAGGATAAGTGTGAAAAGAATAAAGTGATGGAAAGATATGTGCAAAATTTTTTTTTTTATAATGAAATGTGAACATCAGTCTGGAAAGGTAGCATCTTCTTTCTTCTTTTGATGCTTTCTTAGGTTCATCATCGCCTAGAAGAGTTGTGCTTACGGACAGCACAGACAGCTGCAGAAAAGTACCAGTATCAGCAGGTATCTCAATGACTTCTGAAAATAACTGGTTTAGTTTTTTTATTTCTTGTCTGCAGGTAATTGATTGGAAAGATTGGGTGGACTGTAAGGTACAAATAAACTGACAAAATAGGTTTCAGGACAAAGTACCTTCAAGGGCAAAGGTTGTAAATTTCCTTATTTCCCTGCTGCGTTTTGTGTCTTTTCAGTGCTATGCAGATATTTGTGTTCATCAGCATAATTCTTTTGGTGGATGAGATGGATGATGTCAGCAGGAGGGAGACGTGTGGTTGAGAGAGCTGAGAGGGGAAACTAGACATTGGAAATCTGTCTCATCTTCAGAGCTTTGTCATAGTTTCCACCTGAGCTCATTAGATTCTTTTCCCATTTGTGAATATGTGTTGGTACTGTACTGCCACACAGGGGGCTGAGGTAAGGAACAAGCAACTAGGTGAGGTAATGCTGTTTAGTGGCAGCAGCTGGAAAGTAGCTGGTGTGTGGGCACGGCCTAGCATTTTGTCTAACCTTGGAATATTCTTGAATTAGTCTGCTGATGAAAAATTAAGCTGCTGTAGGGAGAGTAAGAAGGATCTAGTAGAAGGGAAAAACTGTTGGTTATCTGCCCCAGAAAAGTCTGAGTTCTTTTCCAGGTTCCTTTTCTGTTGTCTTCCTTTGGTCCAATTGGTATGCACCAATTGGAAGCAGTCATTGGGTTTTTATACATTGTCACATATTGAGAACCAGCATTTAACCTATTCTGTAAGGATGCATGAGAAAGTTTTATGAGTTTGTTGTGTAAGCCTTTAAGCTAAGGTTTTTGTGTCCTTCTGTAGATCAGGGGGCATCTTTTTTTTTTTTTTTTTTTTTTTTTTTCTTAAAATGTGTTACTCAAAGAGTCTAGGCAACTTTCATTCTTTACGAAGTGAACTGAATAACTTGTTTCCACACAAATGCATCTGTGATGCAAATCTTTGTTCTTTTGGGTAAAAGTATAAGTAATGTTTCTGATCTGAACATTTTCTTGCTCTGAGAAGATCTGCAGTTATTACACAGTCAGTGAGAGTAGGGAATTTTCTGTGTTGGGCAGTAGATGAGTTGTAAATGTAGTTATTTTTGTATCATTATGAAATCTGGAGAATTTGATGAAGAAATTTTGGGGGTAATTTTGTATGTGTGTCTTCTTATCCCCAACGGATGTAACCTCATTTTATCTCATATAGGGCATTCACTCTTTCCACTAGCATTAAGTGCTATTCTTGATGCCACGTTTTGTACACTCTGTATGACATTCAGTGTAGGTCTTTAGTGGTGAGAGCTTAGCCCTGCCTTCATTCAAGTTACTAGTTTATAATGCAGTTCATGTGCAGTGTTGTCTCTCTAGTTATGTTGGCATTCCTTTTGCTATTGTTTCCACAGATGCAAAAGCAGGATATGTTGACTATGACATCAAAAGAATCACGCAGTATGTGGGAGGAAGAAGTGAAGTCGAGAGTCCTCCTTGAAAATCGTCTTGCTCAACTTGATAGGGAAAAGGCTGAGCTCTTGGAACAGGTGAGCCCAGAAAACAGACAGTCCCTAACACCTGGCCAGTACTTAAAATGATGCTGCCATTTTCTTGAGTTCTTACATACTCAGCTTTTTATATCCTTGCCGCTTGGGCCATGAATACTGTTGTGATTTGGGAGTCATGAAGGAATTGAATAAAAGCCAACAGAGTATATTTCTGAAATGCTGGAGTTGTCCTATCAGGAAGACAGTGTGGTTTGATAGCAGTTGAGCACATGGAATAAGGCTGTGGTTCCTGAGTTATTTATTTGATTTCTTTCTGGTTGTTGTCTGACCCCTTGATTTCTGGGCAGGAGTAAAACACCCCTTATTTTCAGTGGCAGTGTATGGAGGAACTGCTGCATGTTTTCAGAACAGCAGGAGCTTAAAACGCTTGCAGAATAAATAAGATGCAAGTGCAAACTACAAAACTAGTTTCCAGCTCTCCTCTGGTTTGTCTGAGAAAACACCACGAGGAACAGCACCCGAATTAGTAAACACCCACAAACAAGATGTGGAAGTAATGACTGAGGAGACACTGATGAATTCCAGAAAAGCAGACTCTTCTGCAAGAGCCTGCTGGTCACTGGGGATTCCATGAATGCTGTAGAGTCTGCATTGTTCTCCAGGACTGTGGCTACCTATGCAAGTTGACCTATTAGCAGAGGAACTGTGGAAGCTGTTTTCTTGCATCTTTTTTCCAGCTTTTTGGGGCAAAGCCCAGTGGGGGGGGGGGGGCATTTGCTTCAGCAGGGGCACTGATTGGTATCCCTGGGTATTGACCTGTTTGTGTGAAACCTGAAGTGATTAAATGTTCACAAGAATCCTGTGCCCCAGTGTTCTGCTGAACTTGGTGAAGGGATGTGTGAAGGGATCTGTGTGCTACCTGCAGTTGCTACGTGTAGTGTTCTGTGCTTAGTGTGACATGGTTTTTTGTTTTTTGTTGCTTTTCTTTTTTCCTTTTTTTTTTTTTTCCTTTTTTTTTTTTTTTTTTTTTTTTTTTTTTTTTTTTTTAAGTGTGAGGCTGAAAGAAAGAAAGTGAAGAAGCTGGTAGAGTTGAAACGACCAGTTGAAGCACGTCTTGACCAGGAAATGAAAAGAAACGTTGAACTGCAGAAAGAACATCACAGGTATGGTTCATTGGTACTTGAAAGAGAGCTCACACAGGCTAGAAGTCAGGCTTTATGGGACTTGAATGTAGAAGTTATGGGACTAGAATGTAGGTGTGTTTAACCCTTTCTAAACAAATTCAAATCTCACATCAGTTCTTGCAGGGCAGTTCTGGTACATGAGCCCGTGATTTTCTGTAGGTGCCAAAAGAACAGCAAATGCAGGCTGCCCTGCACTTCTCCTGAGAGAGGGAGGTCTTTTTTTCCTCTATTGAGGTGAAATTTGGACCCTCCATGTGACCTATTGCATTGGAATGCTGGATTTTCTTATTAACTGTTGGCCTGTTGAACATGTTAGAGAGGAAGCAACCTTGAAGATGAAGCTATGCTTTTCACATGCAAGTGTGACAAATAGATTCGTAGTACTATTGCATGTTTTCTGGACTGATTTGTTGTGCAGGTGCAAGAGGCTTCTGAACAGAGCTGTGAAGAAACTAAGAATGCACGAGTCCAGAGAAAGAGAGTCCCAATTTAATTTCCAGGGAGAAATGAAAAATAGGTATTCTGAAATGGTGAATGAAGTTGGAAATTTAAGAACAAAGGTGAGTTCTGGCTGTTTCTTTGTTGTTTTTTTTTTTTTGTTGTTGTTGTTTGTTTGTTTGAGTTGTGTTCATTTCTGAAGACTTGTAATATTCTTTTCAGTAGGTATAGAAAAGTTATGTTTCTGGGAGAGAAGATGAAATTGGCTTCACAGTTGACCTTGGAAACTTCTGAAACATCTCATATTTCCTAAATATTCTTGCAACCAGACAGTGGATTTGACCTAGAGAGAAAATACCTTCCTTTACCACTGCTGTGAAAGCTGCTTTTTGAAGCGCTGTTTACAAGGCTTTCAAAGGCAGTGGCAGGAGGAGTACTTTTTTCCTGTGCCCAGTTAGCTCTGTACTGGAACATTCCCCCTGAAGCACAATAGGCATTCTTTCTGGTATCTGGGTAGAGTTGTTTGATTTGCATTAAGCAATAGAACAGTGCACGGAAGAATGGCCCTAGCACCTGTCAGCCCACTCCCACAGTGAAATTCTGCTGGTTTGGTACTTGTCGGTCTTTTACTTGCTGCAGAAGAACTAAGGAAGGGTGGAACTTGAGGAATCCTATTGGCAAGAACTTAAAAGCTGTTCTTTTAAAAGATGAGCTTGACTTTCCTTTGACTCTGATGCTGAGTCAGCAGGTGATGGTTACAGACTTGATGGTTTTCCTCTTTATGAATTTTCAAAGAATAATTTTACACCCATCTAAGTTCATTTTCTTACTGTCTACAGGTTACTGAACTTTCTCAGCAGCTGGAGTTAGAGTCTAAAAAATGCATCCAGCTGGAAACACAAAACCAGGATTTGCGAGAAGAGCTGTCTGTTCTGCGTGGGAACCATGAAAAGCTGGAGAGGAGCAAATCCCAGTTGAAGGAAGAGGTGGCAAGCCTCAGACATCATTTGGAGGTTAATATGGTGAATCACAGCCAAATAGAACAATACAAGAAAGAGATGGAAGAACGAGCCGGACAAGAAATCAGACAAAAACTACAAGAAGTCAATTTGTTTTTGCAGGTAAATGAATTTGTTGTGTATGTCTGTAGTCTTTATTATGAAACTTCTTTTTTTGTCATTTTTTGTTCATATTTTAATTCTTTGTGTTAGTGCTGTACTTCTGTCTTTCCTGAAGAGAAGTGGAAGAACAGACAATGGTTGGGCAGAAGTGCTTTCGGGTGTGTAACTTGCCTGCAGGTTCCCAACTTAATAGTGTTCCCATGACAGGCTTCTGTTCTGCAGTTCTTAGAGGCTGTTGCTACCTGGTCATCTTGTTATTGCTGTTATCACATGAATATTGTAACTTAGAGATAGTTTTGCCGTACATACAGGTCGTGTTTTATCATTGTATAGGATAAAATGCTCAGAGAAGAAGTCACTGATGGGGCAGAAAGAATGGGGATGGGATTCTCATAATTTCTTTGTAGAATCCTTTTTGTGTGCCCTTTTTGTGAGCATTCTTTTAGTAGCTGCTGTGATGAGTAATGTTGCTAAGAGCAGATCTCTATCTGGATGGAAACAGTTATTTAATGTGTTGGTTCCAAGGTTCTGCCTTGATTACTGATGGTAGTGAGGAGGTCCAGTTGTCTCAGCTGGGCCCTTAAAATTGGTTATATGCAACTGTCTTGGGGGGAGGCAGTTCACCTTTTCTTTGCAATGGTTGAAATTGTGTTCTCTGCTTCAGACACAGGCAGCCTCCCAGGACAGGTTAGAACAAATCAGAGACAATCATCATGCCTCACTGAGAAACCAACTAAAGCACAGAATTAAAGATCTCGAATGTGAGTTGGACAGAATAAAAAATACTCAACACGACAGTATTTTTCAAAAAGAATCCACGCAGGCAGAAGTGGAAAAATATAAAGAAAAGTATCTGGAAGAAGTGAAAATTAGAAGAAGCCTAGGAAATAAGCTGGAAAGGTAAGTCCATGCTTTTTTGGACTGGTAACAAGATGTAAAGTAGCATTAGCTTGCATGAAAAACCCTGTACTGTTTCCTCCTAAACTCTCTCTTCTGTGTCTTGTCAGCATTATGGACGTAAACCTGAGATGGCATCTTTATAAGAGAGCCCTGTAAAACCTTTCCCCTTTACTTTTGGAACCACCCTCATTTCACTTCAGTGTTCTAGCAGTCACACCACCAGTCGTGACATCGCTACCGTGTGCTTGAAGTTAATAGCATTTTAACAGGTGGCCTTTGGGCCCCTCTCGTTTTGGACTCTTAATGCCTTCTATTTGCAAAAGCTGAATAGTAGCCAAAGACCTGGAAGAAGTGACTGCAACAATACTATCAAAGATAATTCTTTGCATTTTTTTAAATGTTTCAGAGCCAATGAGAGACTAGCAGAAGCTAATGCTAAGCTCTTTCAGGAGCGCCACAGAAACAAATCTTTAATTACAAGCAGCATTGTCGCAGGAGGTCTGTCTGCAAGTCCAGTTCTGTATTCAACTGAACTGGGGCATCTTGGCAACAATCTGGCACTGAACAGAAGTCTCAACCTAGGAGGAAGCTTTGTAGGCACAGCTGGGAATGCATTATCATCAAGAAACAATGTTGAAGCCTACATGGATAAGGTAAGCATTGTAAAATATGGTCATTAAGACTGTACAGAATTCCAAGAGTGCTCAGACACCAAAAATACTGGCATCTAAACAATGAACTATTTAACTGTGTATATATATATATATATATGTATATACATACATACCTACCTATGTACATGTACAAGGTTTTTGTGTGTTTTGTTTTTTTCAACAAGAGAGAATTTAATAAGCAGTGCTGTGGCATTGGAAGTTCCCAGCTAAGCTATTTATTACACTTCAATGCATAGTATGTGTATAAGTGTATGACATACTTCAGGTGGATAACTTTGACATCTTTGCCCTGCCTGTCAGACATCTCTTGTCAAGCCACTTTTTCTTTCCTTACTGATCTTCATTTTTAATTTCTTTTACTACATAAATACTAACAAAGACATGGTTCAAAACTAGGATGATATGAGTGTGATTTCTTTGCTTCTTCCTATACAGTCTGCTGTGGGATGCATGCTGTGCCTAGGAAACATTTCTCTTTGTGCTTCCTGCTATGTATTATTATCTGAGAAGAGAACAACCTACTCTTCAGGAAGCCTTCACAGCTTTCTAATGTTTTGCAGCAATTTATATGTGATCGCATCCTCTGCAGTAGCTCTAAAGTACTTCACCAGTTGTGCTGCTTAGCACTTTGCCTGTTCATCAGACTACTTAAAAAGACAAGAGTTTATCTGACTCTGAGCCTTTTCTTTGCTTCAGTTAGACCTCAGATTTTTCCAGTAATCTGTTCCCTTCTGTTGAGAGGAGAAAAAAAAAAAAGAAAGAAATGAGCAACAAAGCAACCACCTCTGTATTGCCATTAAATTCAAGCTAAGTGCTGCCTTCTTGGATGGAAAAGATTACAAGTACTCCTGACAGTAAAGCTCATAATGACAGGGAGTTAAGGAGCTTAGGGTGCAGTCACGTAGTCATCTTGCTCTTGTGTTTTTATTTAAAGCTCTCGGTGCACATTTGGTGTTTTTCAAAGTAAGGGAGGTTATCTGGAGTATATGCATCTCCTGGGAGGAGGAAGCTTGTGTAGATTTTGGCTTTGATTTGTGCAAAAGCTTTGAAATAGCTACAAGGACAAGAAGCTGAAAATACTTCACACTGCCATCACTCAGATTGCTGGTATCAATTATTTTGTCCATGCAACTGTTAGAATAAGCAAGCTGTGCTGATTATAAACAATGCTGCTCTGACAAGTCGGCGCAGAAAATAATGGTGAACTCTGCTAGCTGCAACCAATGTGAGTGCATGGATTTATGAAACCAGTTTTCCTACTGGTAGCATAAGAAAAGGAGCACTTTCTTCCCATTCCATCTCTCAGTTTGTTCCTTTTCTGATTTTATTTCCTGTCTTCACTCCTGTTTTGTAGCAGTCTTATGAATTTCCACTCTTTTGACTTCTGTCTATTACTCTAGTTCTTTTACTTGGCACCACTGAGAAGAATCTACCTTGTATTCTTTATATTCCATCCCACAATCAGATAATTACACCTGCAGGTGAAACCCTGAGCCTTCTCTTCCAGGCTGAACAGTCCTGGTGCTCTCAACCTCTCCACATCAGCCACATGTTCCAAGCACTTGATTGTATTTGCTACTCACATAAGTCTGGAAGCTGTATGTTGTCTGTTTTGACAATTACTTCTGTGTGTAACAAACCTGATGGAAAATAGTGCAGGAGTCACATATATCATCAAAGTAAACAGTAGCATACAGTCTTTGGACTGTGGCCTTTAAAAGGCCTGATTTCTCCTTATGAAGACTTTGCATTCAGAATAAATGACAGTAAATAAACAGCTCCTGGGGGAGCAAGGGGTAAATTGTCCTTTCTAGTGATCCAAGCTGGTTTCTGTTACATAATAAAATGCGCAGCACTTGCTTTGTAAGCAAGCTAACAAGACAGTTAGCAAAGGAATAATGTGTTTATATATTTTTATATGTATTTGAAGATAGACATTAACCATGTATACATTTTTATGAAACCATTGTGCTTTCTTCCTGTATTTTTAATGATGCAGCTGGTGAATTGCAGATTGTTGTGTGCTAAAGTTAATGTTGCTCAGCAATGAGAATGCTACAGCCTCACTGACCAAGAGATTGTTGTTGTGAAAACTCAAACTTCAAAGCAAGATGTCCCTATTTGGGATGGCATTTTAGGTTTCACCACACATAATATGTGGGTTTTAAAGTTCTTTTAGAAGTTTTATGTTGCAAAAGTGGAACTTGAAATCTCAATTCTGTGTTATGTGTAATTCTAGGTACGGAAGGAACTGGATGAAAAAATCACTAAAGAACTTGAACAAGGTAATGTGCTACTCTCATATCACTGTTTTTAAGGAAGATGATGACTGTAACTTTTATGCAGTTATTTTCAAAAGTTGTCAAGATCCTGTTTGAAGCACAGTGTTGTTTTTTTTTAAACTCTCCAATTCAGAGTTTTAATGGAAAACTTCCTGCTTACCAAAATACTGTTCAGAATGTTCTGCAGTTACTTTTGAGAAAAAGCATAGAGAACAAACCATCTCCCCCATACAGATACACCTGGTTTAAACTGAAGTCACCTTTCATCCTCAGGCACAAACACCAAATGAAAAAGAGCCCTGAAATAAGATTTTTGTAGACTTCAGTCACCATATCTCTTTCTGCATGCATTCATTGCATACATTCAGAGAGGAATTCACCTGTTTCATAATTACCATTCTGCCAGAGTCCCTGCTGCTGTGCATAGAGACACTGGAACAGGTTGCCTGGAGAGGTTGTGCATGCCCCCACCCTGCAGGCACTCAGGGTCAGGCTGGATGGGGCTTTGAGCAGCCTGGCCTAGAGGAAGGAGTCCCTGCCTATAGCAGGGGGGTCGGAACTACATGATTTTAAAGGTCCCTTCCAGCCCAAACCATTCTGTGATTCTAAGACCGCTGGAATTTCTTTCTCTAGTGTTGACTGATAATTGAATTTGGAAAAAATGCTTCTTTCTTTATGCCTCCCATCCTTTTTTATTTTTGTTTTCCTTGGAAGTTTTTAAAATCTTTCTCTAGAGTGTAGCTTGTTCAGTTACCAGTGATGTTTTTACAGTGACTTATTTGACTCAATCTACTGTAAAAGTAACATCATGAATCTTGTTTCTTTTCTTTCTAGCCAATGCTGAACTTGAAATTGGATCTGCTAGAGCTTCTCCAATGATGTCTACTGATGGATCTTCAAAAAATCTCAATATTGACCAGGATCCCCTTTGCAGAGCAATACAGGAGTACCGTGACGTTTTAAACAAAAATTATCTGATCTAAACAAAAATGCAAAGGGAAAAGTACTGGAAATCATTTTGTTTACATAGGATGTCTTTGATTTCCCATCCTGCAGCCTGGATGTGGAAACATCTATATTCAAACTGCAATAAGTTCAAAATGTATTAAATAGGTGTCAAGCACTCTGCACTTACTGTTGGTCACTGAGGTGTAGTTAGTTTATTTTGCACTCAGAGTAAGAGCCATATCTATTTTTTCTTACTATCAGATTGAGTAACGTTGATTCTTGAACTTGACAGAATTGTCAGAATGTTTTTGATGCATTATTTTGCTCCACTTGTGCTCTGTGTTTTAAAAGCATTCCCCTTGTTTTAAAGCATTTTAAAGCATTCCCCTTGTTCTGTTGAACCCTTTCACTGTCTGTGTGTTTCCAGTGTTATTTTAATGCATAGGAGGTTATTTGTTTGGCTTATTTGTTATTATTTGTTATTTGTTTGTTCTGCCAACTGCTTCAGTCCTGGTGCTGTGAATATTTCTGCTGATTAAGTGAAAGTTTTACCAATGTTTAAGCTGGAGAAGGATGCACTTTACATTGTTTCACTTATACGCACCTTGGGCTTAAAAATACTGTGAGTGTGTAGTAGTGCCAAGAAAGCTTTAATGTGATCTTTTTGGTTTGGTATCCATGTTGGGTTTTGCATTAGAATTTGATTCAACCTAAGACATTCACAGTTGCTAGATCAACATGGGATGAACCTGAAGCAGTTCATACTGAGAAGAAGGAAAATTAACATTTCAACCTTCGTTCCAATTGGTACTTAACACTATTTGTGTGGTGGGACAAGTTTTTATTGCTGCTAACAGCTGGTGATAAAATTGCTGCAACTCAGGTGAAGAGTAATGCTGTGGGACTTTGTGTCTGTAAGACAAGCAGTTTTGTTAACAGTTACATGTTACTGAAGATCTGCAGTAGTCATTCCTTGTCTACAAAATTTGCTAAAATATTACACAACAAATGGAGTCAACATTCCAGAGATGTGAGAATGTTGTACTGAAGCAAACAGAAACTGGAAAAAAGATTTTTACTCACTAATTCAACAACTCGAGTTGAGCAGTAAGGAGATGTAGTGAATGTTGCTGCAACTCTCTGCTCCTTTTTACATGAATACAATTTTGTGACACTAATACACTGTATTTAATTCCAGGTATTACATTCCAACTTGGTATTTAATAAACTTTCATATTCAGTATGTCTTTGTTATTTGTTCTGTTAACCTTGACTTTGCTTTCCACCTCATTCCTTGCCTCTGCGACTTGATACTGCTCTCCTCTGCCCGCTTCATCCCTGCTTCTTGGTGCCTTCAGCCTGCCCTGAGTTCAGGTAAATGGCCAGTATGCATTTGTGTCCTTTTTCTCCTGGGGTACTTGAAGCATCACTGTGTAAAGTCTGGGGACTAAAGTAGAAGTATTGATAGCAATCACTTTCCAGACTCTTACATTTTAGAGTAATTCTTCCTGTGGTCTGAGCAGAAGGTGGTGGGCAAGCTTCTGGGAGTCATGAAGGGCTAGCAAATCCCACAGCTTTGGATCTATGAGGAGCTGAACAATTTGTAGCCTGCCAATGGCAAAGGTGTTAAGAATTTTCTCTGGCCTGCACCATGGTGATCAAAGAGGAGCTCACATTTTGGTACATTTTAGCATCTCTCCACGGAGAAAGCAGGTGCATAAGGTCATGGCCTTCACTTTGCGTCGTTAATTTAGCAAACTCAGATAGGACCTGTTTTAAGTTTTTTGGTTTTTTTCCCTAATAAGCTTCTGTGCTGTTGGTTGTCAGTTGAGAGGGGAAGGTTCTTGTCTAGAGGAGAAGCAGCACAGAAACTCAGTGTTGGCACCTAGCATAACAGGTGTTGGGAGCAGCTACAGTGGGGCAACCAGCCACTAGTACGATCTCATAGCTTTGATGTCATAAGTTTTGTCATCACAGAAATTAAGGCATGTGTGCTTGAAACAAGTATGGAGAGGTGTGATTTTAATGGGTGTGCTGAACCACTTTCTGGTTTTCAGTGGTGATGCATTAATAGGAAACCAAGAGTCTGTAAACCTGGCCATGCCTGGGGGATCTTTAGGACCTTTTCTGCAAAAGGTTGGTCATCCCTTTATGAGACGACCTCTGGTGGCCCTTTGTGCTCTCTTCAGCTGGTACAAGACAGGAGCTAGGTGGAAGAATACCTGCAACAGGGTCCACTGTACTTGGAGGACACTCAGGCCTCATTGAAAGAGGAAGCCATGAGATTCATCAGCGGCCAAAGCCCTTGGGATCCTTCCTCTGTCAGCTTTCAGCAATTCCAGCTACTGCACCATGAAAGCTACTCCAGATGTGGCCACAGGAGGTCGGAGTAGAGCAGAACAATCCTCTCCCTCACCCTGCTGGCCTCCCCTCCTGCTGCAGCCTGGAATACAGCCGGCCTTCTGTTCTGCAAGCACACGTTGCTGGTTCATGTCCACCAGGACCCTAAACTACGTTCTTTCCACCTTTTGCCCATTCTTAAAAATGAGAGTAATGTTTCTGTGATTCTGTGATTCCCTTTCTCCAATCACCAGGGACTTTTCAAATGTGATGGAGAGTAGCTTGGCAGACCCATCAGCCAGTTCCTTCAGAACCCTGGGATGTCATGTTGTCCAGCCCTATAGACTTGTACACGTTCTGTCTCAGGAGGCAGCTTTGGGCTTGCTTTTGTCTTACAGTAGTGTCGTTTCTCATAAATCGTTGACAAGGAGGAGAGATTTTGCTCCCCCAAACCCCACCTGGAGGTTCAGAAACATGGGAAACCTGACTGACAGCAAAGCACTCAGCGTATCTCACGCTTCTCCATGTTTGTTAAAGCCAGTTCTCCCTCCTCGTTTATCAGGAGTACACACTCCCTGCTCTGTCACTTCCGACAAGTGCACCTGTAGATTCCTTCCTGGTTGTTTTTCACATCCCTCACCAAGTTCAGTTCCATCTGTGCCTTGGCCTTCCTGATCCCATGTATATCTAGGCAGCATCCCCGTCCTCTTCCCAGCATCCCTGTTTCCACTGCATACAGCAAGCATGTGGAACAGGGCTAACCGAAGAGCTGTATTAAAACTAGTGCCACCAAAAAAGGGCAAAGAGTTGGTAATTGGAACTCCTTGCTGGGAGGCACTGAGGCCCCCTTTTGCCACCCAAATAACCTCTCCAGAGCAGTTTGTTGTTTTCTGGGGGCACGTGTGAGAGATGTTAAGAAGGCACTACTGCATCTGATAAAACAGAAGACTACTACCTGAATGTCATTCAAGTAGGGTCACAGGAGGCTGCAACAAGGAGATTGCAGAACATTAAAAGGGACCTTGCATCCCTTGGAAAGACATCAAAAGGATCAGGAGCACAAGTAGTGTTCTCTGTCCTCCTGTCTGGGGGCTGGGAAAAGAAGGGGGGGAATGGTAAATTACTGGCTGAGATGATGGTGTCAGGATCAAGGTTTTGGGTACTGTGGTCTTGGGCAGGCCTTTGACAGACGGGGGGGTATGTGAACGTCAGACAGAATGTGACAGAGTAGATGGGGCAAAAGTGTGCAGGAGAGCGAGCTGGCTGGATTGATTACCAGAGCTTTAAACAAGATTCAGTGCAGGAAGGGGATAGAGTGCCTTGTGATAGAGAAGGACCAGGCAATGCTGTCATTTAAGGAAATTGCAGGGAAAAACCTCTCAATTTTCCCATAGGATCTTCCGAATACTCCTCAGAGAAGATAACATTGCTAATAGCCTGGCACCCTCTGCTTCCCTTAAGTGCCTGTACACCAGTGCACATGGCATGGGAAATAAGAGGAAGAACTAGAGATCTCTGCGTGGTCACAGAGCAATGATCTCATCGTGTTCACAGAGATTTTGGGGGGACAACTCACATGACTGGAATGCTGTCATGGATGGTCATGTGCTGTTTGGGAAAGACAGGGTGGCAAGGCAAGGTGGCGTAGTTGCTCTTTATGTGAGAGGGCAACTAGAATGTACTGAGCTCTACCTGGGGGTAAATGATGAAAAAGTGGAGAGCTTGTGGGTAAGAATTAAAGGATAACTAACACAGGTGATGCTACTGTGGGTATGAACTACAGGCCACCTGATCAGGAGGAAGAAGTTGATGAGGCCTTTTACGAACTGCTGGAAGTAGTCTTGTAATCTCCAGTACTGGTTCTTATGGGGGATTTTAATCATCCTTATATCTGTTGGGTAAGCAACACAGCCAGGTACGCATGGCCTAGTAGGTTCCTGCAGTGTGCTGAAGGTAGCTTTTTGATGCAGATGGTGGAGGAGTCAATGAAGAGAGGTGTGCTACTTGATCTTGTTCTTACTAACAAGGAGGAGCTGGTCAGGGATGTGAAGGCTGGAGGCAGCTTGAGATGTAGCTATCATGAGATGGTGGAGTTCCAAATCTTGTCTGGGAGAAGCAAAGCAATAAGATCAACAAGCAGGATTGGTACCCTGGACTTCACAGGAGCCAATTTTGACCTTCAAAGACCTACTTGGAGGTGTTCCATGGGCTAGAACATTAGAAGGTAAGGGGACCCATGAGAGCTGGTTAATACTTAAAACACCACTTCTCCCAAGCTCCAGATCAGTGCATCCTTAAGAGTAAGAAATCAGGGAAAAGTGGCATGGATGAGCAAGGAACTCATAGATAAACTAAAAGGAAAGGAGGAGGTCCACAAATTGTGAGGAAATGGCTTGTCCACTTGGGAAAAATATGGGAATGCTGTCAAGGTCTGTAACAATGCAACAAGGAATACTAAGGCCCTTCTTGGAATTAAAACTTGCAAAGGAAGTAGACGATAACAAGAAAGGCTTTTTTGAAGCATGTCAGCAGTGAAAAGAAGACTAGGGAAAATGTGAGTCCCCTACTAAATGTGATAGGTGCCCTGGTAACAGGACTCTGAGAAGGTGGAGATACGGAATGCCTTATTTGATTCCAAATGTAGAGCCTTGCATCGGGAGTGGAATAACCACATGCATCACTACAGGTTAGGGATGACCTGCTGAAGAGTAGCTCTGCAGAGAAGGACCTGAGCATTCTGGTGGACAACAGTTTGGCCACGAGCCAAGAGTGTACCCTTATGGCCAAGAAGGCCAATGGTATCCTAGGGTGAATTAAACAGAGCATGGCCAGCAGGCTGAGGGAGGTGATCTGCCCCCTCTACTCTGCCCTGCTGTGGCCACATTTAGAATAACCTGTCCAGTTCTGGGCTCTCCAGTTCAAAAAAAGACAGGCATCTCCTAGAAGGAGTCCAGCAAAAGGCTACAAAGATTATAAAAGGTCTGGAACATCTCCCGTGTGGGGAAAGGCTGAGTAACTCACATCTGTTCAGCCTGGGGAAAAGAAGACTCAGGAGGAATCTGATATATGTTTATATATATCTAAAGGGAGATGGGGCGTAAATGGATGATGCCAGGCTCTTCTTTGTGGCGTGTAGTGATAGGACAAGGAGTAGCCTAAAACTTGGTCATAGAAAGTTCCATACAAACATGTGAAAGAACTTCTTTATGGTAAGGGTAATGTAGCCCTGGAACAGGTTTTGGAGTCACCTACAGAGATATTCCAGATCCATCTGCATGCCTACTTGTGCAACCTATTATAAGGTACCTGCTTTAGCAAGGGGGTTGGATTTGATGATCTCTTGAGGTCCCTTCCAAACCCTGCAATTCTGTGATTGGCTCTTGCACCTTTTCTGTACTTCTTTATGTCCAGACTGTCTTCACTGAACAAGTCTTTCTTGGTGCTGCAGAGGAGTCATCTTAGAACTTTCTGACTTCCTCAGTTTACTAAGGCTCAGCAGCCCATAGCAGAATGCAACAGTAATTTTGGTACTTTTATAAATGGTGTTCAGGTGCTCAAAGGCCTGAGATGACGATGTGCCAGCCAGGAATGATGCTCTGCAGTGCTGTGGGCATATCTGTGCATTGGAGCCAAGCATTAGCAGCAGGGTGGTCTGGCAATTCCCTTTCAGCTAAAGGCAGTTCTGCTGGCAGCTTCGCTCTTCTACTGATGGTCAGAAAAAGGACAAATAGAACCAAGCCCAAAACTACAGGCATTATGTGATGTGGTTGTAGAGAATCACACGTCTTATCCACAAATAAAATGGTGCAGCCCCCAGAGTGAAAGCTGCCTTGCTTACTACTTTCTGCCCCCTCTGAACTAATCAAAAACAGTGATGTCAGAAGTTAGAGCATAAAACTCAAA